AATAACCCCTCACACTGATTTCCTATTACCTTCCAAGAAATTGGATGACAAGAAAGCGAAGCAAACCCAATTTAACATAAGCTAATTAGTAACCAAATTTTACACATGAAGGCAAAATCCAACACCTGAGAGAAAATTAAGCAAACCCAATTTTAACTTAAGCTATTATAACCCAAACTTTTTTCACGTGAACCCAAAATTCATCAAATGACAAGCAAATGAAGCAGACCCAAATTCGAATTAAGCACATTAGAAGCTAAAGCTTTAACTTTTAACTGGAACAGGAAAAGGAAAAAAAACAAGAAATTGGAAAGAAGTGAAAAGGATAAATTACGTACGTCGAGTTCGAGCAAGATCCATTCTTTGGTGTTAGTACCAGTGGACCAGTGATTTGTGAGGTCGGGGTCAAGTACGGAAGCCTTCTGTGAAGGTGATTCTCGAGACATACCCTTTACTTTAAAGGGCAAAGGCTTTACCCTCGGCTCTAACTCTACCTCCATTGAAACCCTCGATTTGTCGATGTTTTTGTCAAATAAATATTGAGGTTTGCTATTAACATCACTGTCAACTTAATTGTGAAGTTTGGTGTGTTTTGGTTGAGTATTGAGCTCGTTGGAATGGAAGCCTCGTCGAGATCCTCCCTCTCTCCGACACCCTCCATCGTCGGCAATAGCCTCCCCGTCCAATGGTTATGGGCTGGTGTAATAGTGGGGTCCACATTGATTTAGGAGAAAAAAAAAAAAAGATAAGTCTTAATTTTAAAAATTTTCACGCGCTTAGAAGGAAGTGTAACACACAAAATTTGCCATGTCAGCATAAGGGGGTGAGAGAATATACTTCTACCAAGCAGAGGTGTCACATAACAAGTTAAGATGTTCAACTGATCGTTGTGGACAACTTGAAGGGATTGTTTATGTATTTTGCCTAAATTATTCCTTTAACAAAAGAAAGGATTTTTCTTAAACTTTTGAATAATTTTTTTAAGTGTCCAAAAACACCGTTTGTTGAGGATGTGCTTAGGAAGATTGTATTTCTTATATTTTAAATAATATTAGTACTATTTATTGCCTCAAGTGCCCAAACAAACACCGTTTATTAATTCGTGGTAAAACTTGACATAAACCTGGTGGGGGCAAAGTATCACATTTCAGAAGTTGGAGGGAATTTGAACAATTTTCAAGTATTTGGGTAACTATAAAAAGAGGACACAAGTTGTAGCCGACCTGAACTAGGGTTTTCGGTGTTTTATGGCTGTGAAGGTATTGAGCGAAATGGGAGAAGAGAAGAGAGAAGTAATATTCAGAGACATAAGACGATATTACTGTGAATTTTGTGGGATTTGCCGCTCCAAAAAGTCCCTCATCTCCTCTCATATCCTCTCCAATCATCATGTACGTTTGTTTTCCTTTCCTCTTTTTTCTTTTGGATTTATGTTTTGCTTTGCATCCATCTGGTATTACTTGTTCATAAATGCAGCAAATAGATCTACTGTTATGGTTATTTAGTTATTTTGAGCTCTTTTGTATTCTAAAGTTGACAATCAGTAATTATTAGAAGCTTCAATAGCCAGAAATAAAATGTGAAATGCAATAAGGGTCGTTCTGGTTCACTGACTACTTATGTAAGGATTATTATAATTACGTAGATTGTTACGTGGAATAATAATACATTAAATAATTATGTTTCAATTTCAATACTGCTATACTAGTATTATTGTCTTTTTAGGTGCTCTTTTTCGTTTATCGGAAACCAAGTGCTATTTTAGTAGCAAAGAGTTTTTTGTGTATTGATTTTACCTATTCATCAAACAAAACGAGTCCTTAATGCGTGTTGTGTAATATAAATTGGGACAGCGGAATCATAGGTGAACTCAAAATTGAAGATTTAATTGTGATTGAGCTCAACTTTAGTTGTGTATTTAGAGAGATGCTGATTTTGTTAGTCAGAGGAAGGGAAAATTGAAATTGGTCTTGTTTTTTTTAAAATAGGATGAAATGGAGAGGCGGAAAGATGAGGCAAATGAAGATGTAAAGAAAAAGGAAGGCCCAAAAATGAATATTTGTGAAGAATGTGGTGTGAGCTTTCAGAAGCCTGCTCATTTGAAGCAGCATATGCAGAGTCATTCACTCGAGGTATCTTTTGTTTGTGGTCTTCGTTTGTGATATTGGCGAGCTCTTATTACTTTATTGGGAGTTCAGTTCTGAGGTTATAAGAAGCCTTCATATTTTTTGATATATTGTCTTTGTACACATTTGATATTTAACGACTTTGCAGATTGAGGTAATTTGAGAAACATTGTGGAATTATGTGAAGGTGTGAAGCATTGGATCCCAAAAAAAAAAGAACTCCAAAATGCAAGAGGCAGGTATCTTTCCTTGACTGGATCAGTATCAGGAAGGGGGACCTCCTGAGAAGCTCCATCGAGTGAGCCTCAATCACGCCTTATAATCTTGGTGGTTAGAGATTCATCCCAGTTCCCCCTCCTCCCAAATATAAAAAAAGCTTATCTTTTCTCTCCATTAGCATATGTGGACGTTGGTCAAGGACCTCCACAGACTGAAACATTCTTAAAATGTTTTCTTCTTGATCTTTTTGCATGAACAGAGGCCATTTGTATGCCATATAGATGACTGCCAGTCCAGCTACCGCAGAAAGGATCACTTGACGAGACATCTCTTGCAGCACCAAGGGAAGCTGTTTGAGTGTCCCGTTGATGGTTGCAAACGCGCATTTAGTATTCAAGGCAATATGACTCGGCATGTCAAAGAGATGCATGACCAGTATGCCTTCCCTGAGGCCAATCTTCCAAAGCAGTATGTCTGTTCAGAACTTGGTTGTGGGAAGGTGTTTAAATTTGCATCCAAATTGAAGAAGCATGAAGATTCTCATGGCAAGTCAAACTTCAAAATTCTAATTATCTGTAGAGTACTAATAGTTTATATGTTTCTGGTTTTGAAAACTACCAATAATGACACCATAATCTGCCATGTATCCATGCAGTTAAGTTGGAGACGATGGAGGCACTTTGTTTAGAGCCAGGCTGTATGAAACATTTCACAAATGAGAAATGCCTCAAGGAACACATAGAGAGTTGCCACCAGCATATTGTGTGTGAAATTTGCGGAACCAAGCAATTGAAGAAGAATATTAAGCGGCATCTCCGGACGCATGAAGAAGAGTCTACATCGGAGAGAATAAAATGTGAATTCCATGATTGTCAGCACACTTTCTCCACTGTAAGACTGCTGCATTTTCTTATATGTAAATAAAGCTCCTTTCTGTTAAAAGGAACAGTAGTGATGAATTTAGAAAGCAATAGCACTGACTTGTAACTCGTGTGAGGAAAAAATTCATATACAGAAAACCAACAATTTTTTAACCTCAACCAACACTGCATCAATTTAAGTGCATAAGATTGATAGTCTTCTCACTGAAATATTTGCTGCTTGAAAAACAGAAATCAAATCTTATTCAGCATGTCAAAGCTGTGCACCTGGGGGATAAACCATTCTCATGTGGCATTGCTGGTTGTAGTATGAAATTTGCCTTCAAGCATGTGAGAGATAGACATGAAAAATCAGGCTGCCATGTTTATACTCCAGTAAGTAAAATGTATTTGTTGCTTGAAATCTCAACAGTCACTCAGGTCAGTTTGCTTCTAATATTCGTGAGAGTGACTTGAGGTGTTTTCATTGTCTTGTGTAGGGTGATTTCGTAGAGGCTGACGAGCAATTCCGTTCTAGACCAAGAGGTGGTAGGAAGAGGAAGCTTCCTGTTTTCGAGGCAATTATGCGGAAAAGGATAACACCATCCAGTGGTACAGATCCCGTGTTCTATCAAGGATCAGAATATCTCTCATGGTTACTCGTAGCAGAATCAGATGAAGAGCTGTGAGTCTGTCTCTTTGGCCAGATGCCATGTTGAATCATGGACCAGAAATCTCATAGTTACTCTCAGTAGAACAGAGGATGAACTCTGAGCGTCTCCTGGACAGTTCTTAGTAGATAGCTAGTGTATGTGCTGCCGATAAGTTTTTACTAGAAAAAAGTATATGCTGTCCATAAGTTAAATTTAGCCAATGCTTGTTCTATAATCCAATGGATAAGTATTATCATAACCGTCGACTCTTTCTCAAGACTCCAGCCATTATATAATGTGAATGAGTGACAATTACTATACCAAAACTATGGCAGCCACTAAATTACTAAGACATGTTCCAATTGAACACCTGAACTATGCTAAAAGTAGGTCTATTGAACACAAATATGATAATTTTAAATCAAATCTGCTGCGTGATGATCACTTGCTGTTGACATTGTAAGCAAACCAATAAGGAAAGGACACGTCAGCAAAAGTAAAAGTCAAAATCTAAAAGAAAAGAGTAAGAGAAGAAGTTGACGGGAAAAAAAGATTCCAGCGAAGAGTTTCAAGTATCTGGCGATGTGATTCCACCATGTGAACATTTTACTTTGAAAAGAAAGTGGTTTCCATTGAAGTACTGTTTCCAACAACGACACATTCGATTTCGTTGGCCGTAGAATGTTTCCGGCGACATCAACATCTCTCTCCTCATCAACCAAAAGAGAAAAGCAGTGTATGCCCTAATACTCCATCATACAAATTGTTCAAATCCTTTAAAATAAATATTCTAAGTTGTATCATTATAAACTTTTCTCTATAGAAAATTATGAAAAGAAAATTACTTTTTCGAAGATGGGAGGACCAATTCGTGGTATGAATTTGAAAATGGCTCAAAAAGTTGCAGAACCAGTTCTGAACGAGCTGGCGATAAAAATGGCTAAAAATGAGTTTGAGAACGGCATGAGGAGGAGAGTTTGAATCTATAGCTGAAAAGCAGTGGCAGCGATAACAAGTTCAGAAGAATTGGAGGCGAAGTAGAACCAACATGGCTGGGAAGTTGATTTTTCCGGTGAAATCTTATATTTTCCGGCGAATTTTTGTGTAGTAGATTAACATAGAGCAATTTCACGCGCTCAAGTACTGTGTGTCTCACGATATGTTCCATGTCAGCGAGTTGTGTCTGATAGGCACACTTTCAGCATAGTTCAAGTGTCCAATTGGAACAAGACCAAGTAAGGGTGTCTAAATGAAAGATTTGGTCAAGTTTAAGGGCCTACATATGTATTCAGCCTAATAAATAAGATAATAAGACAACAATAAAAAAGAACACCAGAATTTACGAGGTTCGACCAATTTTGCCTACTTCCTCAGACACAACCAATATTTTATTCCACTCCAAAAATACAAGTGAAATAATACTAAAGACAGAGAAGATACAAATGCCTTAAGAAGATGAGAAGGCAAATGAGAGGTGTGTTTAAATCCTAAACATTAGGCCTCCTTTTAGAGCAAACTTCGTTTGTAGCCATCCGGGAAAAACTAATGACAATAGCTAGCCACAAAATAAACCATACAATAAATAGCCCAAAACTAATTAAAAGGCTAGCCCAAGACCACTACCACTCAAAATCCTAACTTCCTTCTCCCTCAGCATTCATACCATTTTTCTCGGCCGAAGAAGCCGATGTCGTACGCCGCCGTTGTAAGCGCCGCCTCCGTATTGAACCACCAATCAACGCCCTCCGTCGTGATCCACTCCCGTCCAGTTGGGTCGGAATTAGCAGTAGACGTCGGCTTCTCCAGATTCTTAGATTCTATCTCCCTATCTCTTCATTCATTCCAAGTATCTTAATTCAGTTCCCCTCCAGAATGCACACCGTCTTAAGAACTCGAATTCATCTTTGTTTCCATTGTTGAGGAGGGAACGTGGGACTCATTCTTGAGCTTGAAGAATCAGTATTGGTGCTAAAATTAGAGGGTGTTGACTGTGAAATTGATTGAAATGTGAGAGTGAAAGTCATCCTTCAAATCTGGAAATTGCACTTACAGTTCTCCTTGCAAATGTTGTGTGAGTTGAAGTTGGATTGTGAGTGAATTTCTAACTGCAGAAGAAATTTCAAGAATCTTTGCTTCTGATTGAAGTTGTGCCCTGTTTCTGACTGTTTAGGCTGCTGAAAACTGCAATTCTGGACAATAGCTTAAGCTGCAAATTGAAGTGCCTCGCCAGTCTTTGCACCTGTTTTTCAGCAGTTCTGCAGAACTGTTTTTCATCCAATTTCCTGCACTCTTGAATAGCTTTGTTCAGCTTTAAAATCTGTTGATCTCCTGCACTTTTCGAGCAATTTTTCTGTACTTTTATCTTGCTTTCTGGAAGAGATTTCGAGCAGTAAANAGTCCAAATCTCCGAAATTGGGCTCATCTTGGGCCCGGTGAGTACAATCAAGGTTGTTTGAAGATCTCAGTGATAGCTTTCACGTTAGAGAAGTTGAATTCTCATTAAAATTTCGAACTAATTTAAGATCCTCACCTAGCCCGGCCTCCTTAGATTCACAATCAAATATTTCGTAGAATATCCTTTAGGGCCGTTTTAAAATACTAGTGTGATTGTGTATACGTCCGCATAACACAATTACGCTTCTAAATACAAAACCGGAGTATGCGTTCGCGCAACTTTGGCCCAAATTTTCTTAATAATAATAAAGCGTTATTAATTGTGGACACGTTCGCGTGACATGATTTTTGACGCGCCAAACAAGCAGGTATAAGTACGCGTAACCCGTTTCGAGATAATTTTCTTAATTAAAAGTGGTGAAAGAAGCACAAGCACATAGGTTCTAAAATCAGTAATTAAATAATTTAATAAGCCAAGTAGGATCAAAGCGACCGTGCTCGAACCACGGAACTCGGGAGTGCCTAACACCTTCTCCCGGGTTAACAGAATTCCTTACCCGAATTTCTGATTCGCAGTCTGTAATAACAGAGTCATTCTTTTCCTCGATTCGGGATTAAAACCGGTGACTTGGGACACCATAAATCTCCCAAGTGGCGACTCTGATTTTTAATTAAATAAATCCCGTTTCGATTGTCACTTCAAGTTGGAAATAACTCCCTTTATTATACCTCTTCCGGGGGGTGTAGTAACAAAAAAAGGAGGTGTGACAGCTCTGGCGACTCTGCCGGGGACTAAAACCCAGAACTTTTGTTCAGGGTTCAAGAATTCGAGCTTGTTTTATGATTTTTACTCGGCTTATTTATTATTGATATTATTGCATTACGTGAACCTTTGTGCTAAATGCTATCTGTTTACCGATTTAATATTGTTGCATTGTATATAATTGTCTTCTTACGCCACCCCTTTAGTTTTTTTTAAAATTGGTGCATACGTTCGCGTAGCCCGCTTTTTCTAGAAAATATACCAAATAGAGCGAGGATGGGCAAGTGACAAGGCCGGGCAGACTTCAGTGCTCCCGGTACGTCGCCCCCTCCTCAGCCCCAGTTGTCCGCTCGGGTACCCCAAGTCTAGACCAAAACCCCAGGTTTTTTAAACCTAGAAGAACACAGCCTCATGCCGGATCCCTAGTAGGAGCGCTTGTTTGCATCACATGCATTTTGGCTTAGGGGACTCAACACAGGGGTTGGGTCCGTCTAGGATAGGTGTACCCCAAAATAACAGACCATCATGATGCATCCTGTGTGCTATGTGAACATTCATTTATTTTGGCTTGCATGCTGACCGGCTAAATAAGAAAAGAAAAAGTGAGGAAAATCAAAAAAAGAAAAGAGAGGGGAAAAATCAAAAAAAAAAAGAAGAGAAAAACAAGAGAGAAAAAGACCAAGAGTGATGAAGAAATAAAGCCCGGCTCTAAAACCCGATATTTGAAAATACCCCTAAACTCTGCCAAATTTTTCAAAAAATAGTTATTTTCCAAAATCAAAGCTGCCCGAACTACGCATACCTGATTCTCGTCTTTTGGGGCGTGATACGTAGGCAACCCACATAGGGTCCGGTCTTCCTAGTAAATGTTAGGTTCTTGGCTTTGCGGGGTCTTAGCCAAATTTTGCACTTCCAGCCATCTTTTGGCCAAATAAGCCACTTTGCAAAAATAATCGCAACCATGTCTTGCATGTGTCTAATAGAGAATGTTATTGTCTCACATAATATTGGTTTAAGTTTTCTCATACAGGTGTGAATTTACTAACCGGAGTTTGAGCAGGACAGATATCCCAGGACCGCTGCATTCAGGAGTTGCTTAAGGAGATTTATTTTTATTTTAAGTTATTTTGAGTATGTTTTTTTTATGTCGTCTTTTACTTTCTAGTTTTGTACAATAATGTCAAGTTTTTTTGTTNGAGTGTCACTATACAAAATATATAGAAAAATAGAATATCATTATACAAAAAATATACAAAATTGACTGTCACTATATAAATATACTAAATAGACGGTCACTATACAATCTATATACAATAGATTGTCACTATGCAATCTATATACAAGATAGACTGTCACTATACAAAATATATACTAAATAGACTGTCACTATACAAAAAAAAATATAAAAAATACTGTTACTATACAAAATAGACCGTCACTATATAAAAAATATACAAAATAGACTGTATATTCAATTCTTAGCTAATACTTATCAGATCCAGAAGTACAAAATACAATTTAAAAAGGCAAAAAAGGGTTGCTCTATCGCGCCAGGTAGTGGTCGAACCTATGACTTTCTACTTAGGAAACAGACGCTCTATCCACTGAGCTACAGGCGCTTGTGTTGTCATGCTCATTCCTTTCGGGCTACTAGATGCAATATATTTGGGCCGAAGGGCCATTTTTTGTAAGTGGGACAAAACATGGGCTATTAAAATTTTGAGGGGCTATAGAGGGTAGTTTTCTCCTCCTTTTATAGGGAAAAATTCCCAACCAAATTGCCAAATTTCCGATTTGGGACTTTGACATCTTCAACAAATCTCCACCTTGGCAAAATTCCACATCTTCAATTTTCTTTCAATAATAAATTTTGGTTGTGTCTTCATCTTCAATCTTCAGTGTTCAACAATGTTGATCAAATCCAAACAATGTTGAAACTTGACCGCAGTCACCACTTTTGTCAGCACATCAGCAGGATTCTCTATAGTATGAATTTTCTTCACCGTGACTCCATCTTCTTCTATGATTTCTCGTACGAAATGATACCGAACATCAATATGCTTCCTCCATGCATGATAAACTTGGTTCTTCGCTAATTGAATAGCACTTTGACTATCACA